AAAGACTGGCATGGCTGAGCAGAATCTTCAGAGTTAGTTTTGGGACATGAGTCCACCTTCTCCCCAGATTGCCGGCCTTCTGATTAAATCAACTTTTCCTTTCTACCAATACTTGCCTCTTGAGTATTGGCTTTTGAGCAGTGAGCAGCTGCGCCTGAGTTTGGTAACACTTACATCTAGTATAGTGCTTGCTAAATATTGAACTGGAGGAAGAAGATCAGGACTTGTCACTATTGTTGGAAATGAACATCACCCAGAGAGAGGATCAATAATGAAGAAAAAGACAATAAAGTCTTTGCTCTTAGAAACTATGGTTAAGAGGTAGATGGGAAAAGAAGAACCGTCCAACATCTACATAAAAGAGTACTTCTTCTCGTTATCATTTGTCACAACCTGCTCCCTTTTAACTTTTTATGCTTTGGTGCTTAATATCTAATGACTTTCCATCTGCCCCAGATTTAAGCATAGTAGGTGCCTTATAACAAATATGTATTGGTTTTAGTTGTTTCAGTCTATATTAAATTTACTACTATGCATATAAAGAAAAGATTTATAATATATTCTTTCTGAAAAAATGTTTTTCCCAGTAATTCTTTAAAAAACAAAGGAAGGGACTTCCCTGGTGGCGCAGTGGTTGAGAGTTCGCCTGCCGATGCAGGGGACGCGGGTTCGTGCCCCGGTCCCGGAAGATCCCACATGCCACGGAGTGGTTGGGCCCGTGAGCCACGTCTGCTGAGCCTGCGCATCCGGAGCCTGTGCTCCGCAACGGGAGAGGCCGCAACAGTGAGAGGCCCGCGTACCGCAAAAAACAAAAGACAAAAAAACAAAACCACAACAACAACAAAAAAAAACAAAGGAAGACAAAGACACAAGGAGGGACTTGTCTTGACCTTCATTCTTTTGGCAGACGCTTTCTACTGGAGCCAAAAGGAAATTCATGGAGAATGCCTTGAATAACAGGCGCATATGAGACATCAGGGCACCAAATGTTCACCTTTGACATTTATAAATTAAATTCTGTAAAGACTAGACATGATTTGCTTTTTATGGACATGGGAGTACACTGTAAACTTGATGAGATAATGAATACAACATTATACTATTACTGATAAAATAGTTTGAAACCTACTTTTTATACATTCCTTAAAATTACTGATGAAAGACCAGTGAGAAATTAAGTATATATTAGACACAACATAAAATATGAGTTGGAAAACATTATGGAAGCCCACATCAACCCTTTCACTTTAGAGATGGGGAATCTTAATCCCAGAGACTATAGGTACCACAGAGGCCTACATTTAACAAACTTATTAAACCAGTTTTAAAAACCTGCCTCGCTTTCTTTCTTGCAAGCCAACATGAAGAAAAAACGGCAATCTCTAATGCAATCCCTTCTCCCAAGACATAAAACTAGTGGATTCAAAACAAAAATAACTAATAGTACTTTTAAATACTGCTTTCTAACTGCCATTGCAGCCAGTATAAATTCCTGTAATTTCCTGTCTATTCCCAACTGAATGGCATATTCCAAGTCACTTGTATCATTAACAAGCAAATGAAAAGCACACCATCACCCAGCAGAGTGAATTTCCAATAGAGCAAAACTCACTGACTCTGGCATTTTCACTGGCATTTGCAAAAGCATTAAAAAAAAAAAAAAAAAAAAAAGACTCAAAACAACATTTCATTTACATAAACATTCATTTAACATTAACATTTCATTTAAACATTTATTTTTAAGCTGAAGAAGTGTTATTATTCATTCAATCCATGGTCATAAATACCCTAAGAATATCCATAACCAGTAAGTTGGTGAAGAACTGTATTAAAATCATAGTATGCATCTTGGACAAAGAGTAAAACAAATTCTAACGGAACAAACTTTCAGTCAGTTTTGGAACCTCCATCCAATTCTAAAATTAAGAATATATCTGAGCTCAACATTTATTGCACATTACTGTGACAAGGCAATATGCTAGATATTGATGGTGCAAAAATGGAAAATAGGTCTTCCTTGTTAATTACCTTAGAATTTTCTACGGAAGGTAAGGGCATAATTTCAATTTAAATATCTGCATTCCCACAACACTCCCCGGCCTAAGCCACCACCATTTTCTTGCCTGTGAGACAGCAACAGAGTTCCCTCGCTCTACTCTGACCTTTCTCTCATCCTGTCTTGCCACATGGTCCCTTCCATTGCTCTTAAAATAAAATGCAAACTTCTTAGCTTGGTTACAAAGGCCCCTGGGCTCTAGCCCTGCCTCCTCTCCAAGCTCATCTCCTCCCACTTTCCCAGCAGGTTTAATATGCTCCAGTCACATTAGCCTCTTTCTTTGCTGTGAACACAAGCTTTTCTTGCCTGCGACCTTTGAACTTTCTGTTTCTTTTGTCTGAAATGCTCTTATCTGGCTCTTCAAAGAGTTGGCATAAGCTAGTATTTCATATATCACCTCCTCAAAGATGCTTAACCTGACTATTTGGTTTCAAGACGTACCCTACTGCCCACCACATGACCTTCTAAAAATGACATCATCCTATTTATTGCCTACATAGCACAGACTCACTTTCTGAAAAGAGAACAATGCTTTGCATCTTATACATATTAAAATTAGTAAAAACCCTTCCTTAAGAATTTTAAGCTAAGTCATGATTTATATGAATTTGACATTCTAAAACTGCACAGAAGGGCTGACTAATCAAAAATATCTACCTACCTACCCAGCCACCTATCTACCTACTTGTCTGTCTATCTACAATGTTGTGAAAGAAATGGAATATATATTACAGAAGAAAAAGCAATGATGGTTATCAAGGGACCCAAAATTTAGTTACTTACAGCTAACTTGGGCAAATCAACTTCATCTCTCCTGGTTTCAATCTACTTATTTTTACAACAGGGGTTATATTAGATAATTTTAAAAGAACTTTTCAGTTCTAAATTTTAGTCATTTGAAGCAGACTTTTTCCAAATAAAAATCATTAATATTCCTTTAAATGTACATTTTTAAATAACCTGAGGACAGTGAGATAGGAATATGAGGCCCTCAGCTATGGGCTTCCTGTCTATTTGTAGGTTATTTTGCCTTAACTACTACTTTTTGATGCCTCATCTTCAGTCCGTTCCATTTCCTATTCCAGAGTGGGGAAAAATATTGAAGCTATTTCATAAAAATATATTGAATTATGAACTCATTCCTCCCTTGGAAAATAAATGTACTTCTAATAATAGGTATATATGGCAAAAAATTAAAATAACCCCGAGTACTAAGAAGAATCAGTTTTACACATGCATCTACGGAACATCTATCACTGTTTTCCAAATAACATACAAAATAAAGAATTTGTTTCACTTTGTTAAAACTAAATCCCAAAATTTCTCATTGGAGCAATATTCCCTAGTACTACCACTGGAAAAACAATTATTTTCAGGAGAATACTGTAATATAAAAAACAATAATAAATAAAAAGATAGAAGTGGGTAAAGATAGACAAGTCAGAATAATAAATAAGGGGGCTATCTCTTAAAATTAATAAATAGTGACATTTTTTAGTGGCATTTCAGAGGAAGCAACAATGAAGTTTAAAGGAATTGAATGTGAAAAATCTAAAGCATATAATAAAATTATGGGAAACAAGCTTAGAAGATGCAGTAGGTAGGATTAGTTTGAGGTACAGAAAATGCAAGCAGCAAGACAGGATAAAAAAAAAATCCTATTTCATAAAATGACAAGAGGTCCTTTAGCACTCATAGAAAATAATCAGGGAATTACTTTGGCTCAGTAGGGGCACCCAAAATAATATGCATGAGAAAATCCTAATTTAAAATATTTCATATAAGAAAACCTGAAGAAGTGAACTAAATTCTGCAGCAAACTTAAATTAGTTGACTACTATTTTAACATGGCAATACAACTGCACTGTGAAACAAAATCGGGAGTGGTGGTGCAATAAGTTGTGTGAAATTACATGCTGTGTTACGCCGGAAAGATAAAGTATCACAACCCTAGGTTTATAAACATATACACACAATATAAACAAATGGACCGGTGGTTGGTTAAGTGTATCCTCCATTTTTTTATTTCCATATCCCACACTCACAGCCTGTCACTGATCTATTTTTACTAGTTGGGAAATGGAAGAAGAAATTTAATATTATACAAGCATATTAGCTTTATTTTCCCAAGATTTTTCATTTTCATCCATCTTTAAGTTTACTACTTGATAAAACAAACACATCAAAGACAACAGTGGTCAAAAATTTGTTTTTACTTTCCAAGGGATCAGCAAAAGTAAACGCTTTTAGGCTCCTTGAAAGCCAGTCCAAATGAAAATATGGTAGAAATCAGCACATCTTACCCGACACCAAACCAGCTATATACTTTGCCTCACTGAACACATGACTCACTACTAATGACAGCATGGAGTGTGACAGAGTTGTTATGTAACTTCATTCCAGACTGATTAAGATAAACCGAGTGAGAGACACAGCCTTTACAGTTTTTATCCTTGACCCCAATCTCAGGCATTTAGAGAACAGGCTGGGGTAACTCCAGAAAGCAAGGCCCTGAGGCCAAAATGTAAGCCTCTAAAACTTCAAAATGATACATTCAGTGAGCAATACATTAACATTTAGAATGAAAAGAGAGCTAATATTTTAATTATGTACCACGCATCAGGCAAGGAGTAAGATGATTTTCTGACGAGACCTCATTTAAACTCCAAACTGAACTTGAAAAAAACAAGAACAAAAAAACACAACTGTGAAAATACCTTGCCCCACTGAAGTGCTGTGAAAAGTACTAAAAGTAACCATAAGGCATAGCCCTTGTTAACGTGACTGCTTTGAACAAGAAGGCAAGACTATAGCATGAGGCTACATCTACATCAGCAAAGTCAATGTCCTCTCAAAATGTTCTTTGCCAGCACAACCTAAATCTCGTACCAACATTCACTGTAAACGTGGGAGACATGGGAAAAAAAATCTATCAACCACTCACCATAATGCATGTAACAGTTTCCTTTGGTGGGGTCCAGCTCAATAGCCTTCAAGAAGAATTTTTCAGCCTCACTCTTACGACCCTTGAAAAACAGAGAAAATGGATGATTCAGCAGCGGATCATGAGGGATTCTTCACCTCCTGGGCCCAAAGGAAGTAGACTAATGTCTACTTAGTAATCATCATCAAAAAGCAGTGTTTTGTTTTTATCTAAACGAGGATGATCAAAGAGAATATGTTGAGAGAGAAGACTGAGGTCAGAATCCTGGGAAACATCAAGATTAGAAGAGACAGTGAGAGTGAGTTCATTAAAGACATCAAAGAGAAGAGACCAGGAGAGCAAGAGAAAAAAGGGAAAAAATGGTTTCACGGAAACCAAAAGGATAAGAGAGTTTTCAGAAATGGTGGGAAACATATTTTCATTTTCTATTTTATTTTCTCCCTTTGATCTGTTTTTCTTCATTCATTCATTCTTCCTTATAAGGAATGATGACTATTTTAGCTTTGAGATGGTTTTGTCTTAATGTTCACTTTTATTTTTTTTTAATATTCACTTTATATAGGAAGAAACTAAGTCACAATTTGTTGACTCTCAAGCAACTACTGCTTATCCTCGCTGCTGTCATTCAGGACTACAATACTGCTAAATCAGGATTTAATCTAAAGCTAGATCTTCTCCCTAGCTACAGTTTTAAGTAAACATTACCATAATCCTCAGAAAAAATATAAGCAAAAAGTAGGGGCAAAGGCTTATATGCAATAAACTGATTTTTCATGAAATACTATCATAATGCAGGCAGATTCTAAAACTAGACATTCTTTGCTGTGCTATAGCTTCTGCACCAAAACTGACTCCAGAGTAACAAAAAAGGGTGACTCAAGGTAGGAGAACAACCCAAAGAAGACCTTTCCTAAAACAGTTCTGCCTTGTCCTCCAAGGTTAAAATGAAGATCTATGCTAACTGAGTGGAAGCAAGGCACAGGGTGGTATTCAGAAGCTGTGGGTCTAGAGTAAAGAGAAACAATCTTATCTGTCTGTTCCTTCTAATTTAAACGCTATCTACCACATAAACTTCAGGTGATGTTTTTCTTTCCCCTTCACATATATTTTTAAAATCACTTTTAAGGAGATAATTCTTCCAAAGGTAGAGGTGTATGGTTAAGCTAATATTCTACATTTCATGCAACTTTGACTCATTTCTCCATATGCCTTCTCCTTTTTATTCGTTCATTTAAAAAATTCATTCTGTTGCCCTCTTTCATTCTACTAATGCTACTCCAGTCAATAACTCCTCTTTAATTCACAAGGCTTGTCAAATTTCCAATAATTAAGAATCAAAAATCTCTTGCGAAATTTCTCACAGCACTTTAAGTTCAAAGGAAAGCACAGGCAAAAATACTTGCTACACTTGTCACACTTTGATGAAGTTAGTAAGAATTAGCAAGAATCTTACCCAGTTAGGATTCACTAAATGGTCATGCAGTTAAGAGCACAGATGCCAAGAGGCCGAGCAGCTCTCACACTTATGTAGCTATGTGAACCTTGGAGAATAATTTCATCTCCTAGTTATAATTTTCTCTGTTACAAAAAAGAGGGCAGGTGGCGAACAGAGGATTTTTAGGGCAATGAAACTATTCTGCATGATACTGTAATGGCAGATACATGTCATTATACATTTTTCAAAACCCATAGAATACACAACACAAAGAGTGAACCCTTATGTAAACTATGGCCTTTAATTAATAATAATGTGTCAGTATTGGCTTATTAATTGTAACATGTACAACATGAGCTCAAGTTGATACAAACAGAGAAGCTGTATAGGAGGGTGGGAGAGCATATGCCATTTCTGTACCTTCTGCTCAATATTTTTTCTGTAAACCTAAAACTGCTCTAAAAGTAAAGTCTATTATTTTTTAATGAGGATAATAAAATCTATTTCATAAGATTACTGAATTATCTGAAAGGACACACATGAAGTGGCTATTATAATACATGGGCATGTTCTGAGTTTATAATAAATGTTAACTATTATTTATATGTAGATATATATACATATACATATATAGTATGCAATAGAATGCAGAGTTCTGAATGACAAAGAATATGTTTTATTATATACACAGCCTCAAAACACATGGTTAGCCTTTAAATCACCACTGGAAAATAATGTACAAAGAACTTGCAGAAGATGATAAAAGAAAGATGCAAAATGAAAACTATCATGGGTAAAGAGTCTGCACAAATGTTATATGCAAAAATATAAAAGGGTCTATGAACTTTCTTCCACTTAAGTTTTAAGGACAGAAGAGAAGTGGCTCATTTATCAATGTCTCAGTAAACAGCGTAGTAAAATTCTTACTGTAGTCCGCTGGCAAAGCAATAGTATATAGCTTTAAAAAGTAAATCAGGGCTTCCCTGGTGGCGCAGTGGTTGAGAGTCCGCCTGCTGATGCAGGAGACGTGGGTTCGTGCCCCGGTCCAGGAGGATCCCACATGCCGCGGAGCGGCTGGGTCCGTGAGCCATGGCCGCTGCGCCTGAGCGTCCGGAGCCTGTGCTCCACAACGGGAGAGGCCACAACAGTGAGAGGCCCGCGTACCGCAAAAAAAAAACAAAAAACAAAACATATTTTTGCGGGGAGCAACCTGTCATACTAGACAGCAAGGGAGCTACTATACTCAAATGAACCAGGTTATTAAAGACAACGAGTGCCACCACCTCCTAGATACAAAACAAATACATCAAAGGCCAGAACATTCTTTTCTGGGGGAAGTATCAAACCATCATGCAAAGACCCATTTTGCTACTTTGATCACTATTTGGTCAAGTGCCAAATTATGAGGAAAATAAAATTCTCAGGACACTATACACAATTAATTCAAGCAGATGCATAAGCCAACCAAACACACACATCACTGGGTCCTAGGAAGGGTGGTAAGGAGGTCACACTATGTTTAATCAGGTTTACTCTTTTTACTATTATTGTTATAGAGGGGTAGGTGGCAGTTAAGAAAGTGGAGAAGAAAAACATCATGTCTCAGCAGGTTTTTCTTGGAGTCTTTTAGATTATGTCAGCATTTTCTACAAGCAAGCGTTATGGAGTAGCCTCTGGTTATATGAACTTCTCACATCAAGCATTGTTATTCATTTTGTATATTGGTTGGGATGTTTGGACACAAGTGGTGGTTGAGAAAACCAAGAAAAAGGGACTGTGGTCAGCTGTGACAAATAATGGAAATGTGAGTGGAGAGGCTCGGTTTCCACTGCCAGGTCTATGACTTATTTGCGTGCTCACTTGTTTCTGTAGGTTAAAAAACTTGTATTGAATGCCTTGCGCTGTTCTAAGTACTGGGGATATAACCATATAACTGAACAACACAGACTGCTCACTTGCAAGTGCTACTTGCAGGAGGCACATAGCAAACGAATAACCCAATAAGCAAGGGGATCAGTCATAAGAGCACTGAGGGCTAACAATGAATTTCTTCAATTCTCATTGAGAGAACTGGCCCAGAGTCAGACTAGCCTGTGTTTGAATCTTGCTGCCTCTACTTATTTAGCTGTGTGACTCTGCCTCTTTTTCCTCGTTTGGAAAAACGAACATAATACCAATTTTGAGGGGTTGCTAAAATCATAAGTCAAAGGGAAATAACTAGCTTCGGACCTGGCATAGAGAGCTCTGACATTCTTTGATTTTTCTTCCATCTATCTCCTCAAAAAATTTTTATTCTTTCCACCTTGAATGCCACTGTCTGGTTCCCAACTACCAAAATTCAAAAATCCTTTGCAGAATTTTATGTCATGGTAGAAACTAAATTTCACGATTTTCCTATAAAATGTCTCTCATTCGCAATACTTCCCCCTCCCCCAATAAAAGGCTCTTCTGGGTCACATCTTTTTTTTTAATATTCTTTTTTTTTTTTAAATAAATTTATTTATTTATTTTTGGGTCTTCGTGGCTGCACGCAGGCCTTCTTTAGTTGCGCCGAGGGGGGCTACTCTGTTGTGGTGCAGGGGCTTCTCATTGCGGTGGCTTCTCTTGTTGCGGAGCACTGGCTCTAGGTACCCGGGCTTCAGTAGTTGTGGCACGCAGGCTCAGTAGTTGTGGCTCGTGGGCTCTAGAGCGCAGGCTCAGTAGCTGTGGCACATGGGCTTAGTTGCTCCGCAGCATGTGGGATCTTCCTGGACCAGGGCTCGAACCTGTGTCCCCTGCATTGGCAGGCGGATTCTTAACCTCTGCACCACCAGGGAAGCCTCCGGCTCACATCTTGAATGCTACAATAGATTTCGGATTTCCTGACTCACTGAACTTCATTTTACTAGCTTAATAATACTTAAACAGAACCGGTTTCATGGTATGCCATTGCTCAAAAATATTTTAATAGTACCCTGTTTCCACTCATTTTATTAATAACCAGTCTAATTTTCAAAATACTTCACAATCTAGTTCAAATCTTCTTGGATAAATTCCTGTACCTTATCAGGCCAATTTCCTTATGTACCTTAACTGTAGCTCCTATGTTCTTCCTTAATTATTTCTTCTGGTCTGTAATGTTATTCTTTCTTTTCATTCATTCGTATATATTTTATGCTTCAAGCCTTGGTTGAAATCCCACTTTTTTATAAAGCCCTCTGTGATGGCTCCAACTCCCAGTAATTTCCCTTTTCTTTTAATCGTGCTTATATGATTATTTTTTTAGAGTCATTACTATCACACTGGAGTCACACAACTTGAACCCTAAAATACTAGACTAAGGGCTTTCATTATAAACTAAGGTGGTTGGCAAGTAGAATTTCAAATTTGCAAACTGTAATTCTCGGAAAGTATTTACAGTTTGTATATAACAATTTGGTGTATTTACGCAGGAGTCAGTTAAAACAGCAAAAACCCAGTATGCGGAAGCAAAGAGCAGCTGACAGTGGAAAAGATTAGAAAGTCAATATCAAACAGACCTATAGGAATACTTGGCAAATACTTCAGAAATTTGACCATCAGAACTTTGAACAATTCTAGATTCGACATTCTCTGCAGTTACATATTAGTGCTGATATGAAGGATTAACTGGTTGGATCTGAATCAGC